CTCAAGTCATCAATATTGGAAGATTGTGAGAAGCTTAAATGGTTTAAGTATGTGAAAACATACGAGGAATTTGACTCTGTGTTTTTCATACTATAAATATTTCAATATGGCAGATGTATGCAACAGCTCATAAAATATTTAAATTGATGTTCAGTGCAATAAACTACATACTGCTGTTACAACTTTGGGAAGACAAAACTCATCACTTCTGTAAAATATTAAATTTCAGTCACTAATTAGCTCGTTTTTATTAAAGGAATTACTATAAACAACAATGATCACACAGAAGCTATCAAATGAAATGAATCCATTGCTACTAAAAGAGATCATTGAGGCCCGATAAACAAGTTGAATGTATTGTCTTCGTCATGCATCGCTTACATCATGTTGACTAGCTTGCAGTCCTTTTAATGAACTATGTTGGCGCATTATTTTAATGTTATAAGCAGGCGAAACTCCGTAACATGTTATAAGCAGGCAAACTCCGGTTCTAAAAGTGAAGTGTCTCTTAAACTTGCATTCTCTCTAAAGGCCAGCAGGGGGCGACTCCTCTGGTCGTATAGAAGTCTATGAGAAAATGACTCTACTTCTCTCTTGATTTATTACCTCAGTAAACATTGTAAACATGAGTTTATGGTCTCAATCTCTAGTTTCAAGTCTTCTTCACTACAGCATGATGTTCATTTAGTAAATGATGGTCCATTTAAAGTCAAACAGACCATAAAGCAGGGGATGCTTTAGGGCGGGGCTACATGGTGATTGACAGGTCGCTATCAGAGACGAACAATGCTTTTCCCCCCCCCCAGTCGTCAAAAACTAAATCTGTCATTAGCCGAGTGTGTGTGTGTGTGAGAGACAAAAGGCTCACCCACCACTGTCTCTGTACAGCACACTGAGGAGCAGAGGATGTCACCCACAGACATCTTAGCCTATGCAGAGCTGCACCTGCTGAGCGGTGCAAGGTTAACAATGGCCACATAGGGCTCGACAACTGCTGAACAAGCAGATTTACTACTCCCCACAGAGCACACACACACACACACACACACACCCCTTTTAACTATTAACTATATGCACATGTATGTGTGTTGGTGTGCACAAAAGCTATGTCTGTGCCTCTGTGGATAAGTGACACACAGCGAGCACGTTGTTGAGCTAACGCAGTGAGCTAAATGCCTCGCAAGGACAAGTAAACAACGAGCAAACAAAACGGCGTATCCTCTACCTTTGAAAAACAACCCTCTACCCACCAAGCAATTTAGCACCTACAAATACATACAGATGAGATATTAATGACTCACTACGTCCTCTTTGACCTTTTAATTATTCTGATTTGTGTACAGAGCAAGCGTGCGCTAATTGCATTAGCATCTCTGTAGGTTTACTTAATGTCCCAGTAGAGGGGGAATTGCGATTCGGTGAGCAGATAGGATAACACACTCCTTCTTTTTGTCTGCACCAAATGATCCACTGTGAGTGCGTGTGGCTGTTTGTGTGCGTTGCATTAAATCATGTGAGATTTATTAGCTCAGTTACCACTAGTCAAACCCTCTGACGTGCAATTATGCTCTATCAGCAAATAAATGATTTGGCCATTACAGGCCATAATTGGTTATGGAACAAAGGGTACAATATATTGTCTGTCTCTTTGCAGCTGTTAAACACCCTGTCCGGCTCTTTGCTGCTTGTATTACCGGATAACTCTACTTGCCCCCTGTTTGCCCCCTCTTCCTATTCCCCACTTCCTCCTCTGCTTCCTCCGAGCATTTCCCCGGAGAGGACCGCTGCCTCCTTCTTCCCCTTTATCTTCGGAGCGAGGCATCTGGAAAACAGGCTCTGTCTCCGCCTCTCTCTATCACGTTCAATCATCCTGATGTTTATTCAACTCTCCGCCCTTACCGCCGTCCCTCCACCTCCCTTTCTCCCTCCTCCTGTCCCACCCGCCTTCCCTCCATGCCCACTACGTCTCAGCTTCGCTTATCGCAGGCCCGCATCTCTCCGGTTCTATCCATCTCCCTCCAATTGTTTTTCTTCCCCACCATCTTGCCTCCTGACGCCTTTTTTCCTCTTACATTTCCTCTCTGTCTCAGAGTGTTTTGTCCTGGAAGACGCTGTACCATTTGTATTGTCAGAGGATGGAGGATGCATAGACAAACCCCTGCATCCGGCCCCTCTCAAGCTATACAGTACCACCATCATACAGTACACGATGTCGGAAAGCTGGAGGGTATTTACAGCTTGTGCACCCGTTTCTGCAGGATTGTAGCGGTACAGAAGGTGGTGACTATTACAAGGAGTTCAAATGTCACCTGTCCTCCTAATCCCGCTGCTCTGCTTTGTTTACTGTTGATTCAATCAATAGCATGTTTTCCAATACTTTCGTCATCACATATCTGGTGTACATGAATAGAAAACAATATATACCTTTTTGGTGGCATACACAGGTCCAGTGCAGGTCGCAGGTCGCAGGAACCAGCGAGCGTTGCTGACAAAAACAAGCACCCATGTTCGACTACCCTCAAAGGGTTTGCTTGTTATTCTCTGCTCTCACAACAGATGGGACTTTATCTCCCATCTTTGCAAGTAGGAGTGGGCAAAGTGAATAAAATCCTCTGTTGTGTATAATTGGGATTGTTGTTGATTGAGATAATGATTGTTATCGTGATAGACAGTCGTGAAATTTCTGGAAAATCAACTGATGACCTGAAAAAAACTGAATCCAGTGAATTAAATACCTGAAAAATAAGAGCGCTTCATCATTGTGCACATTATTTTCCTCCTTTTGTACAAATTGTCTCCCCGACTTTGCACAAACTGCACCACAGTTCAACTTGAAACACTTCGTTCCAGTAGACTCGGGTACCGTTTGCTGGTCTGCTCTACAGTTTATTTAAATGAAATTTAAAGACAAACCCCTCCCGGATTCAGAGCAAACTGCCGCTGTTACAGGGTCTGAAATCCAGATATCGAGGACAAAATGAGGTAAGCTGGTCGAAGGAGGCAAAGAGGAGATGAAATGCGGGTGAGGGTGAATGCTGACTAGCTATGGGCTAAGTAGGAATAGATCAGCCTGCTGCCTTGAGTTTCTGCCACACTGCAGCTAATTAACGCTGCCTCATTCCGCTTCAGCAACCTCGGTGCTACTGACTTTAACTGGGCCATCCTGAGATGAGACAGACAGGGAGAGAGAGAGAGAGAGAGAGAGAGAGAGAGAGAGAGAGAGACTGTAATGTCCACACTGCAAAAACAAGTGACCTTTTGGGCCAGATCTTATTTTGACACTTCACGTAAACAGTCGGTCCCACGCAGAGATACAGAGTTGGTGGAGGAGGGATAAAGCCGGTATCTCTGTGTGAGAAGTTGGCTGAGGAAGAAGCGCCCGTCTCATTATACCCCCGGCTTGACCACACAGGACATCTCTCTCTCTCTCCCGCGGGGCCGAGCTACGCAGATAAGAGCAAGCCCGAAGAAAAAACGCTGAGCCGATAAGAACCGGTCTTACAACACGAAGACGCTGACAAAATGGAGGAAAGCGTTAAGAGAGAGAGAGTTAAGAGAGCCGAGAGAGAGAGAGAGAGAGAGAGAGAGGATGGACGGATTTGCGGAGTAAATGGCTGCGAGCTAATCATGACGCTAACAGTAATGGATAGCCCGGGCTGTCCAGATTGCCTCATTTAAGGACACTTGAGTATCGTTTAGGGTATTCTCTCTGACGCACTCACAAAGGATGTGTAAAGATGTAAGAAGTCACAAAACATCAAAACACCAACGACCCCGAACGACCTTCGCTGGGTTTCCCCCACATACACCCGACTATCCACACACCCTCATTGTTGGGAACGGCCCTTTAAACTCTGCTATACACCACAAGCCGAGGACTCGCACGCACTTCTCCTGTTCCCGGCCTCCCCGTTCCCTCGATGACTTTGTCCCTCTTCTGTATTTTACGTTAATCTGTTTTCATCCCTCTTCACTCCTGACAGCATCGAGGTTTTTGAATCCACCCTCCCTTCCCTCAGCACCTCTCAGAGGTGTTGTTGACTGTACCGTGGCCCACACTGCAGTAATCCAATGTTATTGGGGTGCAATATCTCAGTATTATGTGATCAGGAGCCGCTGCACCTTGTGACAAACGACCCGAGTCAGCCCGGGCGTCAATGAGTCAGCCGCTCTGAGAGGCTGGGATGAGACCGGCTTTCTAAACGCTTTGTATTTCTGTTTTCCAGGCTTTGGTGTTGAATGTGCGTCAGTCATTGTTTGACGCTGTGTGGGTGAGTTTCTCCATCAGTGACGAGTCGGCGCTGCAGAGCAGCATTAACATTAAATGTGATCAGTCCGCCAGGAATCCAAAACAGACAACGGAGCCATGTTGGGATGTTAGCCTTTTAAAAGGGAACAATGTAGGAACGCGAGTGAATCACAGCGCTGTCTGTTTATTCTGCTCTCACTGTGGGACATTCCTGACAGCTTCTCCTCTCACTTAACTAAAGGCTTCTGCTACAGCACAAAGCAAACGAGGGAAGACATTCGCACGCTGCTTCCCATCGCTCTCTCTTGTACTGAGCCATGAGAAATAAATGTTTTTGGTTATTAGCGTTTCCTCGTGTACCGCTCTCTGAGAGGCAGACAAACAGCAGCTGTTAAAAGATTTGGATAAAACGCGATGTGCTTATAGCGTTCATAAACAACCTAATCACGTTATTTGATCCTGGTCGCATCATCGAGAGACTCAATCTGTATGTGGAAGGACGGCGGCCTCAGATTCACATCGTTTGCTTCCGTTCACCATTTTAATAAGAAGCTGTGTGTCTGAACGAGTCTTCTAGAAAGACACTAAAGACTTGTCGTGATGCTGTGCAGCAGACAGACTAATCCTGCACCGACACACGAAACAAAACCCGCAAAGACCTTTTCAGATGAGCACATTCTAAAGCGATTTTCACTCCCTTTCTCCACACAACCAACATTTATTCAAAGTTTCCATTTGAAAGAGGACTCACCCCCACCAGCAGTGTACAATGAAGGAGGTCCTTTTGCAGCGTTGAATATTCTGAAAACATTCCACTAATAGAGAGTGAAAAGGGGGGAGGAAACACAAATGAGCTGCTGATTATGCACCAGAGTCCCTCTAAGTAAGAGAAAAACAAACTGTTAAACCAAAGAGTGTTTACTCTGCAAATGGTATTTTTAAAATACAACTTCCAAAGGGCTTTGTACGACTTCTTTATACAGCGTTTTTAAACTGTAAATTAAACACTAATACATTGCTGGTTGTTATTCTTTGAATCAAAATGAGCAATTAAAATGCTGTATAAAGACAAAGTAACCCTATATACCCCATACAAAAGTCCACCGCTGCTACAAAGACTTCCATATATAGACACAGGCTTTACATTAATCATGCTGCTGTGCTACGTCAGCAGTTCTGTGAAGCTGCCCTCTCAAGGTCCATCCATCAATCCTTCGTCCCTGATGACCGCCCAGCTCTATGACGAGGAGGAAGCCGGTCTTCATCCTTCAAAAAACCCACTAAAAGCTTGAACGTGTCGCCCAGATAGAGCCGGCATTGAAGCTTCTACAATTCTTACAGCGTGGATGAGAGAGAGCTTTTTTTGCTTCACGGTTTACTGAGAGAGTTGAATAATCCTGCGCAAAACAACAAATATGCATTCAAGTTTATTAATTATGTAGATTTTGTTGCATAAAGGACAAAAAAACACATCCAAATTAGCATCGACGAGGTTCGGAGGGAGGAGAGAGGATGCGTTGTTGTGCGACGTCCTAAGCAGCTGTTTAAAGACTGTTAGATGGCGCGCACACGGGCCCCCGGCACAGCGGAGGAATTAGTATTCAGCACCGGATAACACAGAGACTCAGTGAGGTCTGAAGGAGATCCGAAGGGAGTCGGCCGGCTCTTTCATCGGGAAGCCGGACAGGACCGCGTGACATATCGATCGGCTATCGGCTACGCGGCACTGCACTGTGGGCTCCATCACCGTCACGGCTGCTCTCTGTCACTCCCACTTTTCAGCTGTTAATTTGTGGTTGTCTGAATCTTAACATTCTGCCCTGCACTCTGGCAGCCATCACATTCGGGAGAGGACCACTACATCAAACCGCCGCTATGACGACAGGAATTTTAACTACTCGGAATAGGGGAGGGGGTTGGGCTCCAAACCCACACTAATGCTTTTGTGCATGTACCTTCACTTGCTCTGAAATCTGTCCTTCGGCGTTAACCTCAATGCACCTCTCCTGCTCTGATATAATGTCATTCTTAAACATCATTGCTTTACCCTACACCCGGATATTAACGTGCTGCATTATTGTATTAATATTTCCAGAGTGCCTCCTATTTAAGAGGCTTTACGGCTCCAGCAAGCAGCTCTTTGACTGTTCTGCTCAGCCTTATCAGGGTAAATCCAGACGTCCTTGTAAGAAGAAAATCAAGGTTCTGCTGACAATGAGGCGCCGGTTTTACACACTGTTAAAAGTGGCGTTTCTGTTGCGTCTTTGTCCGCGCAGATGTTGACTCGGATAATCTGTGTGCAAAGAAAGAGACTGTATCACCGATGAAGCCACTCATTTGCTATTTAATTGGCTGCAGTTAGAGACTTCTGTATCAAACAGCAAGTTGAAATATCAGCAGTAATGAGCTGTCGTATCTGTAGAAGTGTAGAGTACCGTGTGAGAGGGTATCGAGGTTATCACGGGGGGGCGAGCAGAGGGAGAGGACGACATAACAAAGGGGGGAAAGTGTCTAATGGCGGTGAAACGGAGAAGCGTGAAACTGAACCACCACTTGTGTACTCGGTGTGAAAACTTTCCTCCTCCTATTCGGTCTCTGAGGGCAGACATTTATGGAGGGTTTATGTCCTGCTCTCTCTGCTCAACAGGGCAGCACCGGCCCCACTGGGGGCCCTTGATGAAATTTAATTTAGTCTCCTTATTCATGACTCCGTGTCAACCATCAAAACACCCACAACAGCGATACCTGCAAAATATGAGTCAGCCCCACAACAAATAGTGTTGCTGTTAAGGCTTTAACATCAACGTTGCTATTGTTCAATTATGTGTGATTTGTCCGCTGTAAAATGAATAAATCCTGTTAGCTTAATGAACACAACATCGGGTTAACCTGAACCATGAGTTGTTTTTATACCTAAACTTAAGCAAACCTTAATCATTGCATTGTCACATCGTAAATGCATCTGTTTTTTATTTGTAACGACTGATCAGGAAACGCTTCTTTCAGTTATTCGTTCAGAGAACATGGACAAACTATCATTTTGTTATTTCATTTGGAGATCTTGTTGTCAGGTAGAGATCCTTCAAATATCAGAAAAGGGAAGAACACGTGCAGGAAATCAGGGAATTGTCATTTAGATTCAGCTACATGCTCAGAGGGCTGGCACAGAAAAAACGCAACTCTGACTGGTATATGGAGTGTGTGTGTGGGTGTGTGTGTGTGTGTATGTGTGTGTGTGGACTCGCAGGTCAGGTCTTCTGTGTGGGCGGAGTGTCTGTCTCTTGAGCCGGTGGCGAGATGCAAGTACAGCCATCTGGGAGATGAATCTGTACGGCCTCACTGCAGCACAGTGCAGCTTGCAATTAAGAACTTACAAAAAGTTTTCAGATTTCAAATGCTGCAGTTTTGAATAAAATGGGCGACATTAAAAACACACCGACCGAGGGTTGCTTGTCTCACTGCAGCCTTTACAGTGCCCTCTGATGGCTACACACCGACAGGGTTAAAAGCAATATGTTATGATTGCTACTGCCGTCGAGTTGCTTTCTTTTTCCAGCTGCCCCGCCATAAAGGACGACTGTGACTTGATGCATAATCAAAGGCCCCCCATGGAGCAATGTTTTTATGTGTGGGTCCCCGTTTTGTTTGCTCTTGTGCACCCAAGGACGCACATTCCAGTGACCAACAAGTGACGGCAAAATGTCACGTCACCCAGTGAAGCGGAAGACTGCATACACACAACCTCATGCAGTGTTTTTCTTAAGAAACCTTCCTGTTTGGCTCTCAGATCTGTTGTCTCTCTGGGGATTTCTTCAGCTACTGTCTCAGCTACTAATAAGTTCATGTACATTGATCACACTCTTCATCTTTAAGTGTCATGAAAGTGAACAGATACACAACTGAAGCCTCTCATCCTGATATTTCTATAAACAAGCAAAAGCAGAGTCCCCCCTGTTAACAGGTGGGTACAAAACAAGTAATCCCGGCCTCTGTCGAGGGAGACGTGTGGATTTATTACTTTAAGCCCGACAGATCCAGGAGAAACTCCCAGCCTTTACCTAAAAAGCCTGCTTTCAACCTCAGCCTAGCCCTGGAATAGAGGTAATCATTTCATAATCCTTCAGCCTGAGCCGCCCATAGTGAACCTGTGCCGTTTAAGAGAGGTGCGATGTATGAATCCCATTAGACTGATCCAAACTGAAATAACAAAGAAGATTCATGAATTCATGAAAGCTTTGTGCCTAGAAATGAGCCCTCATTTAGAGCATTCCAGCATGTTTTGTCTGTTTCAAGCAGACAATGAGAGCGCAAAGACTCTCTCACACTGAATCCTGAACAAAAGCAGAACAGGTTTGACACTAACTTGAGAAAATCTCCAGCAACTGTTAAGGTTGATCGTCCTTTGGCCATGTACACCCTCAGTGAGTCACACTTAATGGACTCCAATCAAAAGCCGCCATCTATCCTGGTTAATCCTCCTCTCTGGTGCCAAGATCCCTCATCTGTCTCCATAAACCCCATTGGTCTCCACGGGACCCTGATATTCAGACAGGTAAACAAGCCTATCAGGTTTCAGCAAAGCGGAGATCTGATCCCCTGGTTGCTGCAGATGAGTTATTGCCATGGAGCTGACACCTAAGAGATTCATGCATGTGATCAGCGCATCCTCAGGATGTACACATCTGTGTGTGTGTCTACGTCAGTGTGTGTGTATTCACCTGGAACACTGAAGCGGGCATAATCAACTCCCAATTCTTCAGGTCACAGGAAAGGCTTGACATTTGCTTTGTTTGTCTCTTCTACCCGACTGCACATCAGTGTCACTGGCAGCAGAAATTATGGAGCATGCAGAGTGTGAGCTGGGTGTTAATAGTGACTGAGCGAGGGAAATGGAGGTGGGGTGGGGGGTAGCAAGAGAGACATTTCGCACGGCTGTAAAGAGTTAAGAGAAGGAATCAAAAGTAAGATTTGTAAATGTGAAAGCGACACATTTGAGGAATTCAAAAAGGATGAAGATGTGAACGATGAGGGAGAGAATTGAGGGGAACAGAAGAGGCGAGGTTAGGTCTGACCGCTGTCATGGATCGACGGTCTGGAAATAGAGTGGGGTGCATGCCCTTGTCATCTGAACATCACCATGATGACAGCCAGCGTAGTGAACCACAGAACGACTACAAGTCAAGGCCTTTAAAGTGAGAACGGGACAAATGAGAGCCTGCACCTACTGAACACTAAGACCCGGTTCTAAAAAGTCCAACACGAAGGAAAAAAACTAATCATGAGGCCCTTATTGACTCTCCTGGCTCAGTGCTGTGATCTTGTGGGTGCATGTCTACTTTCAGGGGATGCGCGAGTGTGAATGTGTCACAGGGAGGACGGACGAGACGCCCATGGGAGGAAAGACCAATCCTGTCGTCCCGCTAGAGGGAGAAGCACTCTTGTCCTCTTTCCTCTCAATCAACCCGTCCTCTCCACCCTCCCAGCACTCTCCTTTCCCTTTTTTTTGTGTCTGAGTGGTGATGATGGCAGGCTGTCCGTCACGCGAGGTCTGACCCAGATTCACTGGGTGAAGAGGAGGAGGAGGAGGACGGTGAGCGGGCTGATGGGGATATCTCAGCCCTTCACCCATGGGCCCCATCCTCCCCGATCGAGACCGCTCGCCTCCCAGACGAGGTGAAGCAAGCGGGAGCAAAGCCAAGGGCACAGTCTAGCCGGAGACTTCAGCATGTACGCTACCTGCGGAGGGGGGTGGAAGACTGAAGTGCGATGCAAAACAGCAGCAACCAGCTCATTAAGCCGGTAACCCACGGTAGGACGCTGACTTATTCACGCCTGGCTCTGCGGAACAAAGGCCACTGAGACGTAGTTAACTGGCTTACTGGTGTGTGTGCCAGGCAGAAACCACTGAACTCTGCAGTCAAATGCGATCCGGGATCAAAAATGCCGACCTCTGTGCCAATCAGAGGGAGTCCCGCGTGGCCCTGCCTACACCTTGCTGCATAGATACAGTTACTAAGGGAGCGGGAGAGTGCGGCGCTGAGAGGAGGGAGGGATGAGGGATGAAGGGAGGAAGGGAGGAAGGGAGGAGGCATCGATGGGACACAGAAAAAGAACAAGACTGACATCTGCCAAGTAGGCTAAAATAAAAAAATGCTTTCTTAACAGTTCACAATGACGCTGCATTCTGCCCCAACATCAAATTAAGAAGCTAAACGTGCCATTTAATTTGGCACTGGATGTTAACAGTTGGCTGACCACAGCCATTGGAATTTGTCCTGTGGGGACGACGAATGTCTGCTCCAGATTTCATGGCAGTCTGTCCGATGCTCGTCGCGAGACATTCCAAGACCTGGACCAAAGTCTGACCTTGTCCGTCCCTACGGTCACGCTGCAGGCGTGACTAAAAATAGCGTGAAGAAGGAGACTGAGTTGTGTGAGCAGTGACCCCGATTCGGCATCCACATGGCCACTTAAGAGGGATTATCACTTCGGTCACGGTGAAGGGAACCTGAGGGATAGCTCGCGTAACCTTGTTTAGTTGAACCTCAGACATTCTAAACCGGACCCGATCGCTCTTACAGTGATGGAACTGTAACGACGGACAAAGTCACGCAGCCATTTGGATCTGACAAGACGCACATGAAACGGTGAAGCACATGGATCCCGGTTACAAATCGTAGCTGCAGAGACGAATCATGTAGGACAATTATTGGGAGAGTTCAGCTAAAATCAACCTCAAATCCTCACTAATCAAATCCACTGATTTCAGCTCAAACTCAAGCAGATCCAAACATCACTAGTTTTAGGTTTTCGATCTGTTCTCAAGGCAGAGGAAGGGATTTTTTCTTCCATAATATCCATGGTGTGGCATACTAAACTGTATTTATGAGCCATCACCAACCACAGCACCCATCACTACGTACAGTAGACTGCTAGTCTAAAGCGCTTTTGTTCACTTCTTTTTAAAAAAGGATGGTATTACTTTTCAATTTGTCCTTTAAACTGAGCAATAATAGGATTTTAAGACGGAGAACATGAGCTACAGTGCGATGATTCAATGCAGGAATAAGCTCTCTCTCTCTCTCTCTCCCTCTCTCTCTGACACGGAGGTGCTCCCCCCCTCTCTCCGTCCTTCACATGTCCTTGCATGACGGTGCGACTGCAGTGTGCTTCACCGTTTCTGTGGGAGGTCTCTCTGGGATCCCAGTGTGTGGGAGAGGACTTCTGCCTGGCTCTCCATCTATCTGTCGCTTATCTCAATCATGCACACTCCTGCCATCCCTCCTACTGTCTCCCAATCTCTCCCTCTCTCTCTCTCTATCTGCTGTCACGCGCCGGAAAATATCGCTCTTTCATTTAGCTCTGCCCTACTTCGCTTTGTTTTTTCAAACAAAGGGACATTTCTCAGTCTGTCACGCCGATGACAAGTGACAGGGAACCGAGGCATTTGTTGCCTTAATTCCTCTCAAATGGTTTTGAAACTGAATCCTGGCTGCGTAGAGAGCAGGCCGCGGCTACGGCGCATCTGATGTCTTGACACTGAAATGCAGGGGGTGGTTTCACTCACTATGAAAAGTGCTGTCGTCTAAGTGGCGGGCAGGTTACTCAGGCTAATGTGAGACGATGTGTTCCCACTCTCAAGGTATACATCCTCTCACGCCAACCTTCTTCGTTTCCTTTGAATCACCTGAGGTGGTTGATGTAAGCTGACAAAAGTGCAGGACACAAATTCTGCTGTTTAAATCATCCAGCTGATAATCGTGATTAATGTTCGTCATCATCACCATCTAACAAAATAATCAGGATTATGTGCCACACACACACACACACACACACACACACACAGAGAGAGACTTTCTCCATCACAGCCCATAGCTGCTGAGGATTTCTCCTGATTGAGAGTGCTATAGTGCCAGAACTAATTAACAGCGTTTGATTGTCTTGCCGCAGAGGTGGAAGTTATTACCATCACATTTCCCTGTGTATGCAGAATATAGCGGTTAAAGCTCGAGCAGATGTTCGCTCTGGGAATGGACTGTGGGTGAGCTTAATTCACATCTATATTACGATCGTATTGGAAAAAAAAAAGAAAAAAAAGTGTGACATCAACGGTGGTGCTGATCCTAAAGAGACTGGATGCAGAGAGGAAGTGACACGGTTTCCACGTTTACTGTCACGAGAGGAGACACAATGGTTGCCTTACAATCGATTCCCATTTTTCCACCAGATATCCGACTCCATTCACTTCAAAGTCTGTTGAACATTTTGAATGGGATTGAGCAGGCTAATTAGCCTCCCTGCCGATATGAAATCCCGGCTTTTGATGGCGAGGGAGGCAGACGGTGACTTTAAAAGGGAAAAGGAGGAAAAACAGGAAGTTGTACCATTTCCCATTCCTTCTCCACGATGATCAATGACAGCTCAGATTTCTCCTCCGTCCACCCTTACCCAAAGCCTCGTGGACATCAAATGGGCTCCATAGCACACACAGAAAGCTGCCAGAGCATAAAAGACCACAGCAGTTTACACACAGACACACACACACACACACACACACACCTACAGTAATGACAAAGACAGAGCGGGATATGAATCCAAAAGCAAAACCTGTTTCACACTGCTGTGTGAAATGTTCTCTTAGGCTCCACTTGGCAGACAAAGTAGGTCTAAATGATTTATGAGAGGCAATAAAGCTCGCCAGTTGTTTGTTTTAGATAAATGCTACACAAAGCAAAAACGAACAACTCTGATGATGGCAAACAGAGAAAGATGAAAGTTTTTGGCCCCCAAAAAAAAAGCTCCTAGTTTTCATGAGTTCCACACATTTCCATTTTTTGGGGGGAGCGGTCCACAGTTCAAACCTGGAGGCTGATCAAACTGTTGGCGCAGATAGAGGTTTCTGTAACAGCGTGACAGATTTAGAAGAGGGAGCTTTTTGAAAAGACGTGATTGACGTTGAATTTGAAGTGGGATGGACACCCTGCTTACCTCCAGCGGCGGGATCACTGTGTCCCAGCACCAACACCTGGCCGACTGGCCGCCCATCAGACAGGAACACCTGGTAGTCCTCACCAAACATCCCCTCCCCCTGCACTGCCAGCAAACACCCTCTATCCATCCGCTCAGCAGCTCAGCACAGCAAAACCTCCAGCAGCCGACCGAGTGATGCAACGTACTGTACGCCGCTGTATTGATACCGGACAACGCTATTCTCCCACGGTGACATCACGCCTCAATGATTATGTCCATAAGACACTCTGACGTTTAGAGGAAAGCAGATTACATAGTGAACACGCACAATGGGAGAGCTGCACTAACAGCACACACACACACACACACACACACACACACACACACACACACACACACACACGCGGCACTATACATTCTCTCAACATCTGTACGCTCTTCATCATCGGCATGCTTATTCACAGCCAGCATTGGAAGACGAGACGCTCGCGGCTGCAGGAGCACTTCCCTTCCTTATTCCCTCTGCACTCCCCCCCCCCCCCTCGATCTCCCTCTTTCCATCCTCCCTTTCCTGCGTCTGAAAGGTTTTCTGTGAAAGGCCCGAGATGAAAGGCTGCCCTCAATGGGAGCGTGATTGCAGAGACAGCGCTGGCGGCCCAAGGTGCTACCAGAATTGCTCACTCAGGAGGCGCTCCGCCCCACAACGATGCGCACCGCCATTGTCCACAGTTTGTGCGCGGGCAACATCAGAAAGATGCTGAGGTTAACGGTCTTATATTCCAGCAGCGTGGAGACAGTATTTGTATACAGGAAATCACATAAATATGAATGCCATATCATATGGAGATGATGTAATGTGCAGTGACGCACACTGGAGAAGTGTAAAATATACACACACCTACTGCATAGCACCTGGTGGTTCCTCAGACAGTCAAGCATGCACACTCATATATACTGACACACACAAACACACACTTTTGTTCGTTGCTGCTCTTCTAATCTGAGAGGAAAAGGCCTGGGAACTGGTGCAGAGAGCGGGACACACACGTCTGCTCATGTGAAGTCGAGTCCTTTGAGAGAAAGCAGGACGAACCGGACGATGGCTGCTACACCGACAAAACCGACCAAGAGGATGAGACACATTGTCTGAAAACAGCCAGAGCCCCCAGACAGTAAAAGTAAATCTATATCCACGTCTCTCTGTGTGGTGAGAGCAAACGTTCGAGAAGAGAAATCAAGAATACTTTAGCTTTTGTGGGCAAAAAGCCACCAGAAAAGTAGAGTTTGAAATCAATGTGAAGGGCTTTGTGACGTGTTCAGTGTTCGGTACTTTGGCACAGGACGGATCACGACAGGCTCGGCACAGATAGCACGCAAATCACAAACAAAATGTATCTGGAAGATTCATTTCACTTCCTGTTATTGTTACAAGTGTAACAAGTGGGACTCAGCTAAATCACACTTCCTGGTTCTGCTCCACTTGATGTGATCAGTCTATCTCTGGATTTCAAACATATAAACTGATTTGTAGAAAGAAAATCCCGAGAGGCAAAGACTTAATTATATCCTTGTAGTCATTCAACAATTCCCACAGAAGCAGAGAGAGTCCTCCTCAATGTGTCCTGGGTACAATAACAGCACAGCCATGTCGGCTCCATAATAAGCGAGGCTGCAGATCCATCATGCAGAGTGATGTCGCTGTAACGTAATAACAAACCTACTTTTCTTTCGGTGCCAGGACGAATACAAAAACTTTAAATCTGCCAAAGACGCTGCAGCGACAGCGATGAGAATCAATCGGACGTGACAGAAATGAATTGACCGGCGTGCCACCTCTACAGCATGTGTGCTTCTGTCATGAGACATGAGCTACAGTGTGTAGTGAGTTATGGCTTCCAGGAGCCGGTGGCGGGCGATAAGCGAGAGAGAAGCGAGTACCGAAACATCCCCGGCTCTGCCGATGTCACACCACACATGCACAAAATGGCTACAGCGAAACACTGCTGTTAAATCTACAGAAAGACAGACAATTACCCCTCTTAATCCCAAAGATAATATGCAAACACGCACACGCAGACATAACCCCGAAACCTATTCACATATTTGAGAGGAAACAGAGGATTTTCAGCACAATTATACAGAATGCCTCTCTCCTCTCCTATCCATCACTAAATTGCCTCTATTTTTGAGCTCCAGTCCAATTAAAGTGATTATGTGTCAGAAAGGGAACGCGTAATATGATGATCATGATAATGACAGCGGGAAAAACCAGACATGACTCTCTGTGAATGAGGCACAGGTGCAGAGCCAGACCCGAGCAGGCTCTATCCCAAGCGGAGGATTCGGCACACAAGAGCCAGGAATTTGTTACCGAACGCGGCAAAGAGTCGGGAAGATAAAAGCTGACCCTTGAACTGCCAGAGACGGTAATACACACTCCATGCAAAAAGGAGACACGGCGGTGTCACGGCCCAATATCGCTCAATTGCTCTTAGGCTGATTTACAGCAGAAGCTGGCGCCAGCAGCTCCCATTTAAGTGGTCTGCAGGGTCTGAACAGTGGTGAGATATTAATTCATGCAAAGCTAAAAGAAGTCAACCGTATGCTCAGAACCAGCTTCAGATCAAACCAACTGCTGTGCTCTTTAGGGCTGAAGATAATGATTATTTTCAATATTGTTTAATCTGTCAGTCTTTAAAAATGTAGTTCTAAAAATTCACAAATCACAATTTCTTAGACCCCAGTTTTTACAAGCTCCATATCTGCCAGTAGAGATATGTTGAGATCTGCTGAACTATACATCTATTCTGATACTCATTTCTTCACATGAACACATAATATGCACAAATAGTTTTGAATAAGATCCCTTGATTTTTGAAAGAATTGTAGCTAATGGTGACGCTACTTTACATTTGAGTACATTACCTCAAAAATATCATTTCTGTTGTGAAATTTGTTGTTAATTATCAGGCGATACTCAGATATGATACATCATGAATAAGTTAATATCAGGAAGGGACGATTTACGACCAACGATGCTCAATTTACAAGAATATAAAACAAAATAATCAGAATATCCTCATATTTGAGACGGTGGAACCAGCAAATGTTCAGCATCTTGATGATGAATTGATAATGAAAATCATATTTTTTTGACTGACTAAATTTATTACCTTGTCACTGCAGAATGATCAAATTAAAGTGTGATTTTGAGCAAAAGGCGGATACAATTGCTCGGACCTGAAAATCCTTATGTTTTAATTGAGAATAGAAAAGATATATTTTTACTAAACTAGGCATTATATACTAATAAATGGTTCAAACAATACGTATATCAACCAACATTGCCATCATTCCCTGCTTTAACACGCTGCCTGCTCTACTCGACAGGTATTGACTACAAAGTGCCATAAAGCCTCACTTCTGCTTCACTGACTCTCTCACATGACATTCAGTTCTTCGCATAGAGACAGCTTGCTGCCTGCCTGCATGTGCTGCTCTCCACAACTCCCTCCAGTCTCCATCTTGCAGTGCTGAGAACGTGCCGATTGCTCATCCCGGCTTTCAGCGGTAAATAGCACATTATAGGTATACGCTCGGCTCTGATCTCAATTCAGGTAACGGTTTCCACAAACAGCCATTTTAAACTCCATTAGTGCGCCGTTTAATATACATGGACTTCCAACGCGCTCTGGAGTCGGTCAGTGGGATGTTTTCTTCTTCGCTATTTAAAGATTTTACTGCAGCCTGCCGCTCCGGTGGAAAGCCCTGACCTGCAGGCCCTCTGGGCTCCGGACCGTGACACCAATGAGGCCGGCGTTCACAGGGCGTGCTGTCAGGTGGGTGGCACGCGGAGACGGCCGATGCATGTACGGGGGCCGGACCGGAGCGAGGACGTGGAAAAGTTACAAAGGCCACAAAAACAGAAGCCTTGTGTTGTCCCTGAACTCCTCCGCCAAACACCCACCAACAGAGCAGAGGGAAGAGAAATCAATAGCGACTCATGCTATCAGGTATATTCGACCGTGAAGACGAAACAAGAAAAGGAGAGAGGGAGAGAGCAAAGGAAGACATGAGGAGAGGAAGAGAGCGATGAGGCACATTCTGAAGGCCAACGCTGCTCCCTATTGTTATTAGACAGCTCCCTAGCCTCCCTCCACTGCGCAGCGCTCATGTTCTCTCTGCCCGTGACCTTCTTCCGTTAGATCTTGTTGCACTCTCTTCCCAAACAACTAATCTATTGAAGAGCGCCCGCAGAAATGATTAATCTATTTTAATCTGGACCCCGCGTATTGCTTTCCATCATGTCTGCGATGCACAAGTGTCATAAATTACCATAACAGCACACAAAGGAAAGGTTAAATTAAGTCTGGAACAAATGGGAGAATTAAAGAAGTTGCCGCATCAGTTGGCTGTTTTTTTCTTCTGTTAGTCGTGAGTCTTGAGAGCGAGAGATGTGCAGGTGACCACCATCCCCGAGGGCTGAGTGACACCTAAAGGGCACAGCTTGGCTTCTCCGAGACATCTGCAGCATGTCTCATTAGTATTCAGCTATGAATCATTCACAGCCGGCTGTCGTTATCGGCACAAGAAGGGGACACACGGCGACCCACACACTCGCACAAAAGAAATATACTAGGAAATGTTCAAATGTTTGGCATTTCTGTTGAAAAACGACTTCAATATTTCTCGAAATAACTGATTAATCGATGCAGCCCTTGTCTTCTTTTTCCAACCAACAAAAATTCATGAAAAATATATTCCCTCCCCTCATAGAATACTGAGAAAACAATCAAATATCTTATCATTTAAGCGTGCAGACAGCAACACACTGGAGACACAACAAAGACACATTTAAAGCTCTTTGTTTGCCGACACCAGGTGAGACCTCTCTCCTACAGAGACACATTTGCATGCTGTGCAACAACGGTTTGTGCTTAACGTGCTCGTACACCAAACCAGAACAGACTGCTAATGCAGGAAGGATCAACTCCAGATGAACACACTCGTCTCCGCGTGTCTGTGAGCACGACGCTCAGAGGAGAACGGCAAAACTACAGAAACAACGTTGTGTCCTCGACACTTCACCGCCGTCCTTGACATTGATCGTCTATAAGCTTACATTTGACTAACAAGAGCTGCTGCGACACACTACGGGACAGTCAATGATAACGCAGTGAGCTAAAACGTATTTGTCGATTTGTGCTGGACTCGGCGCGGAGTCAGCATTTATCCACCACATCACATCTAAAGTCCACCGAGGGCTCTACTCACTCTGAAACATTACAACAGAAGACGTGTTTGCATGCCAATACCTGCAATGTAAGTGAGCTAAAAAACCTCATTGTTGTTTCATTGTATACACGGTGTAAACACACACACACACACACACACACACACACACACACACACACACACACACTTCTGTCGATCGTGAACACACATAATTATCTTTTTCTCCCAGCAACACTTCAAACTGCATCCCAGGGTGATTTTTCTCCACTCCAAATGCGGTTTCACTGTTCTCAAGTTGCACTTGACACATGAACGCAGAAGGTGAGGAAGAAACAAAGTAAGCAGTTGTTTAATTTCAGAGACAACACTGGGGAAGACACAAAGCAATAAAGGGGGAGTCCGCAGTGGCTTCAAAAAGCTTTTCCTGGCATTTTCCACAGCATGTCTTAATGAAACCTACAAACTACCCCAAGATGCATTAATAATTCTAGGTAGAGATGAATAGTTGAAGCTTTGTTTGTTGTCAGTGAGCTGATGTCGGGACATTGCCTGCATGACCTGAAGAGGCATCAGATACGGGCGGGGATGTGATTCTGGGAATAAATGGATATTAAATACCTCATACAATAATCTTTATAAACACTATGAGTTATCTCTGACACTCGGCACCATTTACATTTAGAAATGACTTTGTCCTGCATCCACAGATTACTGAACAGGCCTGCAAAGCGACCAAAAAGAGACGCAAACAGAGGAATCAGCAAGGTCGACGTTAGCTCGTCGTCAGATGTGTGTAAATACATTTTACATGTACACAGGGGCCCGTTGTACCATAATCTGCTCGTGCATTCTTGGCAATGTTCAACTCAATGAACGAATACTTCATTTAGGTCTGAATGACAGACAGCGACCCATCTGTGTACGCTCCTCCATCTCCAGAGCATCTGTCTGGCAGTGGTGGGGAGTGGATGGCCCCCCGCTGCCAAACCCCTGAGCTTCTCACCGCAGCTCTGCAGCGCAACACTCCCGAGGCCATCGAGAAGGCGGAGCCGATATTGTACCGTGACGGCCTTTGGCATCCCGGTGTGCCAAGAAGAAGAGGAAGGAGAGAAAGCTGCCACACTGGACAAATAGCCATCCCACAGTTCCTGGCCAAGCAGAAACACATCTGCCAAACAGAAAGGAGCCAAACTAACCGCAGCCATCTTGCACAAGAACTACCTCCACAAAAACTAAAGAAAGGCCGGCAAATACACACGCATTACACAGATAAACATGCAAATGCACATTGGCGCGCATCAACGGAGAGACAGAGGCCGAGATTGCTGTACTTTGTCTCCAAACACCTCCCGGAAGATCGTGTGGCTGGGTGCTGCAGCATGCATGCACAATGAGGTTACCACATTGTGAGAGTGGTACATGGGGTGATCAGGGACGTGGACACAAGATAGCATGAGTCTACAACGTCAGAGAGAGGGAAGGTATGTTTTTAGTGGGCAAACGTACTGAATGACGTCAGAGTTTAAGAGTTATGTGCATGTGATAATATGTATTCACCGTCATTAAGTGAAGTCTGGAACAGAGAGTGAAGCATGCGCACAGGTGTCAGTGTAGTGCGACCTTTTTATAATGTATACAGGATCTAGCATTTACGCAGCCTTTGACCCCAGAGCCTCGCTCTTCATAATCACGTTACCGCTCGCTGCCGGTCTGCTTCCTCGCAGCGGCTCCACAGACTCAACGAGCGGCTCCGTGAGCCTCTCGTTTCCTAGTAACTGTGGGAGGAAAATCTACGGCTTGATGGACGGAGGTGCTTTTTGTAATCGTCGGGTGTCTCGACAGTTGTGTGCACGCATGCATTGATTTCCAATTGATTACATCAGTACGTGTGCCTACATTAATGTCTGTGGTAACACGGGAATATATCCTGTGTTGCCAGTTTATTAGGTAGCTAATACAAATGCAATGAATTGTACCTCCATCAAGGTTGTACTGTTCAGTTTATGTTTAACTGGTTTAAAGAGCTGTTGACTGAATTTTATGGTCATTTTGACAGCTGTGGTTATAGTGGTGTTAAATTATACCGCCTCATAATGAGAAGTGCTTCTAATTTTGTCTGCACAATTTACATCAATAAGGGTCGACTTTATAGTAGAAACACCATTCAGTACAATGCAATAGAGTTCAACAGCGACCACACACTACATCGGCCAAAATGTCCTTCATAAAAAGTAGAATTGACTATTTAGTTTACCATTTCTTTATTGCTTGTTTATTTAATAAACTGGCAACTTGTTTATATTATTTATAGCAAATAAACTTGCCAAATATTCTCTGGATTTGCTGAAGTTCTGTTTTATAGAAATGTGAATTGTTTAACTTTGGGCTTTAGACTGCTGGTTGGACAAAACAAGCAACTTTGGGCTCTGGGGATGAATTAATTTAATCCATCGATAATGAAAATCATTCATTAGTTGCTACTCTCACAACCCCCAAAATACACAGGAACCGAACCCAAACGAAGGAGCACGTCCTCACCATGACAAACCTTCACACAGACTTGTGTCACCCGAGCTCAGACTCAGGCCGTGATTACCTCTGTGTGCGGTCCTCAGCAGAGCTCTTATTGAACAAGGACAAACATTAGCAGGCAACTCCTTGCTGCTGAAATTATGACCACCAAATGACTCACCAACACCACCAACAACAGCAACAACACCACCAACAACAACAACGCACAAACCCAGACAAACACGTCCAGTCATATTCATCATTCTCCTCCCTCGCTCTCTTTCTCACCCGCTGCTCACGACAGTCAGAGAGCCGATCCATCCCGACACTTTCTCTGCTCATAATCTCCGAAAATCTCCGCACAGCGTTCATATTTCTCCTGCCTGCCGGGTATTTCTGCTGCACGCTGGCTATGTTTCAAAAATGCCGATGTCATCACGCTCCATGTGAGGGCTCTTGGTTTCCCGATAAGGCTCGGACTGAGGAGATAATCGATCAGGAGACATTAAACACAGGCAGCATCGGATGAACTCGTGGCATATAGGTCTGTCTCGGGGGGGGGGGAAACAGAGCTGACCTTTTCATACTCCCCGCTCTAATAGTTCATGGCATTGGGTTCGGGCTCATCCTTGGATTTCACAAGCAATGTTTGTGACGGCAGCGCTCCCTGTTAAGGAAAATTCATCTTTTCAGCTCAACCGAACTCCGGGATAATAAGTCCGTATCCGCTTCCCAGCCGGTTACAAGCCATTACATGTATATTAGTGGGCGATAAGGTGGGAATTGGGTTTCCTTGTCAGGGTTTAGCTCCTAGTGGGGAAGGAAATGAAAAGTGATCCACCAGCTTTTTTTTTTTACTGCAGAGACTTGCGATGGCAAGTGCAGCACAGAATCCGCACGCCAGGAACAAATGAGTGATTTAAGAGACGCGTACTGACAGTAAACGAGGCTGGCGGTTTAAATGTTGATTGAGGGCAAAGATGGGAATCCAAACTGTAGCTGAGCCCGTAGGCAGTGCAGACATATTTGACGCTTCAGTTCACAAAGTGATGCAAAATCTCTCGTTACAGTTTGAGAAATCAACCTTTAGTCTGGAAGTGGAAGTGTCAAGCAGAGAAGAAGTGCATAGAGGGAGATGACGAAGGAGTCTATCGAGACCGGGACCAGAATGAGATGAGGGATACTTGGATCCAGTCGGTAGCAGGAGGCGGCTAATCTTCCTAAAATCATCGGAGCCTGCGCTGCCTGCTTTGTATTTCTGTCTGAGCAGCTTGGGAAGGAAAATCAGAAGTGATGGGAGGAGAACGTAGGAGGAAACGGTCTGAGTGAGAAGAGAGAACACTATTACTGCTTCTTCTAGCACCATCTGTATTTACTCTCCCGCTTTCTTCCTCGCTCGCTTTCTTCCGGGGAACTTTTAGGGAACGACTGTCTCTCAGCCGCCTCACCGTTCAGCCCTCTTTGTGAATGAGTCTTTTAGCCCAGAGGTATCTGAAACAGAAGCTAAATCAGGCTCTCCCTCATCAGAAGTGCACTCAGGTGTTGACATGTTCGTAAGGGATTCACCTCAACTCTCTCTGACCCCCTTATTAAGCATTCACCTGGCTTTAAATGTGCAATAATAACCACAAAAAAACATGTCTACGTAACAAAACACAAGGTTGCAGGAAGGAGAACAGTGCAACACAATCTGCATCTTCTATGTTTAGACCACCGATGTCCCGTGAAGAGAGGAAGCAGATGTACTACTGTGTGCCTCATTCCTACAGCATATTAAAAGCAGAGTGTATGTATGTGTGTGCATAGTGCTGCTGCAGACAACACACCAGGTGAGGCTTAAATAGATGTTAGTACTCTTTGTTCCACAAGAGGAGAAACCACTTGGTTGTACTCGTAGGTTTGGATGCACAGAGAAAGTACACAAAGCTGGTTAGTGAACTCATTAGTCTCGGGGAAAAAAAAGATTTCCCCAAGAAATGAAATGCGTGTTTTGTTCCATAATGACCAAAAAAACATGGCCTTTAAAAACCCTTTAAAATAACTACACTATTGGTATTGAAAAAGTGCTCCTGATGTTTTGTCCACCACATTTACAAACAGAATAATAAAAAACACATCTAGCATTATGTGTCTTTATTATTATTATTCTACAACACCACCACCAGCTATAACCTCAATAACAATCTGTTGTACTGGAATGCAATAATTCTATAGCTGTAACAAAGAGGCCTGGGAGTGTGCTTAAAGAAATGTTAATATGGCCGTGGGATTGTCTTTAATTAGTGTGTCTTTACTTGGTGTGTGTGTGTGTGTGTGTGTGTGAGAATGAGAAGATTAGTTTGTTCCCTTTCTCTCCGAGGGTTAGATGAGAAGATTGATACAACTCTCACATCCATACGGTAAACATGTAGCTGGAGCCAGCAGTCTGTTAGCATAGCTTAGCATAAAGACTGGGCTCCTGGTAAACGGTTCTGACATCATGAGTTTCAGAGGTGAAGGCAGGTGGGTTTTTTTCTATCAAAACTAAGCCAATCGGCTGCTGGCTGTAGCTTCACTGTAAATAAATGCATTTCACAAACAGTCAAACTATTCGTTTAACCTGAATTTAGTTGAATTGATGACTAAAACATGACTTCTAAAGATTGCAAGCCGGAGG